AGGAAATACGCCTTACTAGTAAAATTTACCTATTCAGTGTTACAAGCTGATGAAGGGGAAATATGCTACATCCTGACATTTTTGAACAATACTCAGTGTGACAGGGTGAGCATGCTGTCACTGTATCCCAACTGATCATGTGCCCTGGCTAGTGGCCACGGGGATATCCCTTTGGCTGACTGGTTATCACGCTTGACTCTCACCCGGGAGTCTAGAGATAAAATCCCACCCAGGCCCTCGTATATCCACCTTGCCACATCAGGTACACATGAACACACACAAACTCCAATCACTGACTAACATCCTATAACAGGGATGTCCAACCCTGGTTCTCAATGGCCCCATATCTCTTGCTACAATGTACTTGATTAGGTAATTGAAATATTGCTGGACTGTTAAGCGTGCCTTAAAATCTTTTGTCACTCACTGATTTAAACCAGGGGTTTTGAAGCAGATAAAAAATTAAACATGCTTTGTAGGGCCTCTTATAGACCATGGCTTGACACCAGTCTTTCATGTACCATAATTTATCCAAATATAAATAAAGACTACCTCTGATTGCCTGTCGAGGTGATTACAGACTAGATCAGTCTGCTTTAAGTTTTTTGCTGCTATCTGACTCATCTCAGTCCTCATCTGCATCAGATAACAAGTAAAAGTTATTGAAATACAGATTTAATATAATTCAGTTAGAACATTTAATTAAGCCACAATTCACGATGAGAAACAATATTTTCCACAGTAAAACATGTCCAGTATTCTCAAATTAACATATCTTTATACATTGTTGTTTTTTAAAGTTTATGCAAAGAAGTCTGTGAGATACATACATCCTGAAACCATTGCTCATCTAAAGACATTGTACTAGATTTGTACATAATCTGATCAGAAAACCAATTATATAACAGTTTTTTATACTATTTATACTTTATACCTTGCAAATTAAAGCAAGATGTGTTTTTGTTGAAAAAGGTTAAGTTTTACTCCATGACAAAAAGCACAAGTACATCTTATTTAATTTTTATTGCATAAAATAACAGATGAGAACATTATTAAAGTAGTTTTGTGCTTAGCTGATGGAAAAAAGGCATTTGGCATCATCGGTAAACATTAAACATTGCGACACTAAGTATATGCTTTCTGGAACTTGTGTTTCACAATTTATTAAGACAGTATTAGGCTGGCTACTTAGCCACTGACATGTTCATCCACTCAGTGACTTAGCAAAAAAATAAATAAAATGCTTAAATGTAAGTAAAGAAAAACAAAGAAACCTACCTCAGCTAGCTGACTACAAAGAGTGAAAAAGTCATTTTTGGATATACGAGCATGAGTATTAAGCTTGCTTTATTCATTTTTATCTCCCCAACAACTGCTTGCTTCACAATACAAAAAAGAAGCTACTCAAAAAGACTTAACAAGGATTTACAAGTTTCAAAATGGAGGAGGTTGCTTCACCAAAACCTAGCATTGCTACCATGTGGTAACAAGCTAATTTCAAACTAGCCCGTTTTAGTTGAAAAAAGTTCAATCAAAGCAACAAAACATAAAGAACAAAAGCTATTAACAAAAATCTTTCTTACCTGTGAAGTTTTAATCCACTAGCACTTCCATTTTGAGAGTTGCAGCTTTAAAGACATTTAAAGCTGCATTTGACACTGTCAACCATGGCTTGCTTTTGTCCATACTCTTTAGCATGGGCATCACAGAGAAAGCACACACCTGGTTTGAATCGTACTTCACAGGACGATCATTCAGTGTATCTTGGCTTGGACAATCCTCTATCGTGCACCATCTTGCCACAGGAGTCCCCCAGGGCTCTGTACTAGGACCTGTTCTCTCTGCCATATACACCACCTCACTGGGTGAGATCATTCGATCACATGGCTTCTCCTACCACTGCTGTTCAGAAGACACCCAGCTCTATCTGTCATTTCCATTGGACGACAACACTGTCTCTGCAGAAATATCAAACTGTCTCTCTAACATATCAAAATGGATGAAATCCCACCATCTCCAACTCAACCTCTCTAAAACTGAACTACTTGTCATCCCAGCAAAACCATCCATACAGCACAATATCTCAATCCAAAATGACTTCCTATCTCTGGCTCCTTCAAAGGCAGTTAGAAATCTGGGTGTTGTGATTGATGAACACCTGACCTTTAAAGATCATGTTGCCTCTGTTGCTCGTTAATGCCGCTTTGCGCTGTGTAACATACGAAAGATCAGACCATACCTAACACAACATGCCACCCAGCTCCTGGTGCAATCTACTGTCATCTCCCGCCTCGATTACTGCAATGCCCTTCTAACTGGTCTTCCAGGCTGTACTGTGAGACCTCTTCAAATGGTCCAGAACGCAGCGGCGCGTCTGGTCTTCAATCAGCCAAAAAGAGCACACGTCACCCCTCTGTTCATTGAGCTCCACTGGCTACCGCTAGCAGCACGCATCAAATTCAAATAGCTAACACTAGCATACAAAGTCCGAGATGGTACGGCTCCCATCTACCTGAATCCTCTTGCAAAGGCTTACGTCTCGGCCCGGCCGCTCCGGTCATCACAGGATCGTCGGCTAGCAGTGCCTACACCACGCTCAGGACAATCCAGGCTCTTCTCATGCATCATTCCACAAATGTGGAATGACCTTCCAAGCACTACCAGAACAGGGGCTTCCTTTACGATTTTCAAGAAACTCCTGAAGACCCTGCTCTTCAGAGAGCATCTTTTAAACGAGCACCCTACCTGCACCCGTTCCCCCTCTCTACCGTCCACTCCATTGTTCCCTCCTCTCCTTGATTCATCATGCTGCCTCACTGCCATCTACGGTTGACTGGAAATTGTTTGTTGCTGTTGTTAGCCTCAAGGGCAACATGCCGATTATCACTTGTAAGTCGATTTGGACAAAAGTGTCTGCTAAATACATAAACATAAATCTTAAAGATTCGTCACCAGGAAGTAGCTTCAGGAGGTTGGGCCTTAAGTCCCTCCCACAGGTTGCTTCACAGCCAATCACAAAAGGGACAGCCAAAACCCCGCCAAGTGTGTATAATGTGAATAAAATTGCAGTTTCATACACATCTAGGGGCGCTGTTCTACACACACAAATACACAAAAATTCAGGTGGGGTGGTTTAGAGGGACATGTAAAAAAAAGGTAAAAACAAACGTTATTTAGTGCAACACTCCATACCAGCTTGTATAGTTATGATTTGCCCTGAAAATTTTGAGAAATCATGTTATTTAGAGACTTAAAAATACAAAAACAACCCATGTCTTAGGCGGACATTTCCTTCTAACTCACATTGGTCCTCATAATGAGGATCTGCAGTCGCTGTTTTACTTAAATTACATTTAAATAGGTAGAATTGGAGAAAGCTGCAGACATTTATGTTCTCACATGCAGTATCTTGATACAAACAAGGACTCTAGTGGACATAAAAGCACACACATTCTATAAAACATGTGTTAGATGTAGATTTACACCCACAGATCAGTCTTATTGTTTTATTCATGCTATGAAGGAGTGAGTAGAAGATGCTGCATGCTTGTTACAAAAAACCAAAAGTGAAGATATTAACGGGGAAATTACATGAATGACTAAGTTGATCCTGCTCGTCACGTTATTTTTTCATAACGTCACGTTTCACGTTCATATCTGCTTTTATAGCATTAGCATAGCGTGCTATTAGTGCTAACAAAGGAAGGTGACATGCACAAGTATGAAACAAAGCAACAATCCAGTTCAGTCTTTCTAACCAGACAGTAAAACAAAGCCTTTATGTTGCAAAGACGTTGTGATATGAAGCAAGAATAATTTGTCCAAAAGAAAAATACAAATCTTAGCATAGCATTGATTTTCAGGCCATGTGACTGCCGCCGTTGTTGAAACGTGATGCCAATGTTTTTGTTTTCTGCTAGTTTAAATGTGGTTTTTCCTTTTGGGAATGTTAGTAGCTGCCGACTGTTTTTATCTTCTAATTTTCGCTCGGCTGTTTCTTCTCCTCTGACCGTCGGAACATTTCACTTCAGGTTCAACTGAGCGTCTCACTTCCGGTTGTGTGTTTTGCTGAAAGATTAGTCAATGAAGATAACGGTGACGTGCAGAAATGCAGCGGTGTGGCGAAACAGACAAATGAGGTGTCCAATCATTGCTTGGTTGAGGTTTTTAAACAAATCCAAAATAACCACTTTGTTAATTTTTTGGGGGGTTTTTTAAATTCTTCACAATATCTTTATAGCTATGCTACGTTAGCATGTTGTTAAGAGGCATGAAAAAAAAAACGTTTGATGCCAATTTGTTTTCCAAGTTAAGGAATGCGGCTTTAAACTCCTCCACTTGGGGATGACCTCTCTTCCGACCCGGAGTTGGCAAACCACCCTTTCCCAGTCGAGAACCATGGTCTGGAGGTGCTAACCCTCATCCCAGCCAACACGCACTCGGCTGTGAACCTTCCCAGCAAGAGCTGAAGGTCCGAGCTCGATGAAGCTGAGAGGACCACATCATCTGCAAAAAGCAGAGATGAGATTCTCCTGCCACCAAACTCGACACGCTCCACACCGCGCCTAGAAATCCTGTCCATAAAGATTGTGAACAGGACCGGTGACAAAGGAAACCTACGTGTGTACAGGGTGTAGATGTCACAGTCACAGCAAGGCCAAAGAAGAACAAAAATAACAAAGAACAAGGAATTAAAAACGCTGTACATTGAACAAAAACATACATGCAATACATGCATAAAAGATTTACAACGATTTAAAAATAAGCCGCCATGTACAGAGACTAGCACATTATCAAATGGGGTAATTCCATGAATGGAGATATCTCCCACCTCTGGGGTGTAGCTTTAATCCCGGTCAGAGCAGGTGAAGGTGTAGAAAAGCTCTGCTCTGTTAGCTGGGTGTTGAGCTTCTGCCTTAGACAGAGCATCAGGAACCCTACTCTTTGTCCAGGTGAGTGACAGGAACTTCCCTTTCTTCTGCTATGGAACTGTGTTTCAGGTGAACCAGAAGTCTGGAGCTCAGGTGAGAGTTTTTCCTGACCCAGAGGAATCTGGGTCTAAGGTGTGTGTCCAGCTGCAGGGCTCAAAGGAGCAGGTCCTGCTAGCTCGCTGTGTTCTGGAGAATCTCGCCATGGATGCTCAACTAGTGTCTGAGGTTTTGGAGGTTCCTCAGACCTCCTTTGGATGCATCATAGGTAGAGTCCTTTTACTTCTAGGATGGTCAAAGTAACCCCAGTGTTTAAAAACTACTAGGAAAGTCAGTGCATGTGTGTGTGTGTGTGTGTGTGTGTGTGTGTGTGTGTGTGTGTGTGTGTGTGTGTGTGTGTGTGTGTGTGTGTGTGTGTTTGCTGCAGGGCGCAGTGGGGAGAGTCTGAAGATAATAACCAGGACAACAGGAGCTCAAGTGGACTGCTCCAAGGACAGAGCTGCTAGTCAAGGTTCAAAGGGCACAGTGACCATCACAGGGACCAGACAGGAAGTCCGGCAGGCCAAGGTGGAGCTGAGCCTCTGGTCTGGGTCATCTGAAGCCTTTTGCTTAGATGTGTTCTGACTTCTTATCATGTATTAACAGGAAATGATTTTGGAGAAAGTCAAAGAGGACCTGATGGTGAGGAGGAACATCTCACAGTCATCAGCACTCCGCCAGAGACGTCATCATGCAGTTCTAGGTCAAAGGTCAGACGATGAGACTGGCTCTTCTCTGGGTCTGAGTAACAATGGCCCAGTCTGCCACGGAGAAGAGAGCAGGTCTCTCGTCTCAGGACCAGATATAGGGGTTGTGATGAAGAAGCTCCAGGTCCCTGGTGAAGAATGTCTATCTCCAGAGTCACTGTCTGAGGTGTCCAGGTTTGAGAGTAAGTTCGGTTTAACCAAGTCATTCGTGATGTGGCTTCAGACCTTTGACTTGTGATTTCCTCTTGGTCCTGTAGTCCTCAGCCCAGAGCTGAGCTTCCAGCCTGATGAACACTTGGAGGTCTATGTTTCTGCATCTGAGAACCCAAACCACTTCTGGATCCAGATCCTGGGAGTTCGTTCCCTCCAGCTGGACAAACTGATGGAGGAGATGAACCACTACTACAGCAACGGAAACCCTGCAGTAAGGACATCAACACGTTAGAGTAGTGATCAGGTGTGGGTTTGGGGCTGGCATTCCCACTCACAGGGATCAGCACAAAACTGGAAAACTAGTAGCAGAGGGGATCAGCTCACGGGGGACTGGACAAGACATCAGTGGCTCTGATCCAACCACCTGGTTGGATCATAACATGGTTTCAAGTAGAGCTTCAGCATGCAACTAGAAGAAATGAAAGTGAGGCAAAATATTTTCTGAGCAGCAATTAGTTGAAAATGGGGCTTAACCTAGAACAGGCTGTTTTACAGCTGATCAAATATTTAAGAGCACACGCCCAAAAATCCCCAAAACAGAAATCACGGTTCCAAACGTGAACTCAGGGAAGCGTAACCCCACCATCATTGTTCATCTCTTCGAAAATGTGTTGAGACATGTTTGATGCAAGCGTTTGCCTGAGGTGAGAGAGAACATTTCTCCAAGGGGCGGGCCCTCAGTCATGGAGGATGTTCTCTGCAACATCTGGACATGGCCAACAACCAGCCAAGTCAGCAGGCTCCCCCGTGACCGAAACCCTGGTTGCAGGTTTAGACCTAGACTCACTCCGTGTCAGTCGTTGTGTCCTTGGGTAAGACGCTAGCTGCTGGTGGTCGAAGGCACTGGTAGTCTTGCTTCTGTCAGTGTGTCTAAGGACAGCTGTGGCTACGATGTAGCTCATCACCACCAGACTGTGAATCATTTATTTATTTATTTATTTATGGAGTCTCTGTGCCACCATCAACTCTCCCTGCAGCAAGTGGCGTCCCCACTGCAGGGTGTGGAGTCTCAGGCGGAGCGTCACTGCAAGCGTCAGCCTCCCCTGGGTCAGGTGGCTTTCCCAACTCAGGTAGGAGTGGTTCTGCTGCAGGGACAACACAGGCTCTGTGGACATCAATGATCCCAGAGGTACTGGATTCCCTGGTCAGTCTGGTGCCATTATGGTCAACAACACCTGGCCGAGGAGTGACACAAACACAAAAGAGAAAGATGTAGATGAGCTTTTGGCTCAGAAAGGTGCAAGATCATCCTGCTGATAGCAGGGTCCTGGAACTGAAGACCGACAAGGTCATTTACAGAAAAGTCAAGTTGAACAGACACAAACCCATCAGATGCTTTAAAGCTGGACGCATCATCAGGGGGCCACAAGGGTTTGAGAGACCATGAGGTGTCCACACCTTTACCTTGATTGGCAAGTGGGTCTGTCAAGTTGTTGAGATGACCGTTAAGGAAGTTCTCTGGTGGACGTCGAGTTTCAAAGCTGAGTTTCTGGCCACCGATGTAGCTGGTAAGATGTTCACCTGTCCACATGGTGGAAAGAGAAAGATTATTGCAATCAGGATATTTTAACACAAGTTGTTGTTTGTCTCGCTCCACTACAGTGGTAGGAGCATCTGCTTGGTCCACGACCTGTTCAATCTGAGAGAAAACATCAGAATGTGACTCTGATGAAAGCTGAATCTGTGGTGGCAAAGGTTCTGGGCTAGGTGTTGAACATGTTGTTCCCGCCTGCTTAGAGTTACCAACCGTGAGACAGTGGAGGTCAGGAGGCAGAACGATGGTCAGAGGTTCTCCAACCCCTGACCAGAGTTCCCTCCCTCCCACATCAATGAAAGCATCAATGCGCCTCAGAAAGTCCATGCCAAGGGTGAGAGGCATGGTTCCACTCTCGGAGATGTACACGGGGTGTGTCAAGCTCATGAGACCGATCGTGAACTGGAGCAGAGTCTTAGAAGACAAGAGCACTGTAGAATCAGAGAAAACACGGATAGTTAATGCACAGGGAATCAGTTCTGGAGCCGCGGGTTGCTGACCCCTGACTGAACCCAGCAGTAGAGCCCTGCGCAGGACTGTTTTCTTCATCCCGCTCCTGCCCGCTCCCATTGAATTTCTGACCATTACCGCCTGCAACCGCAACGTGCATGTCTACTCCCGCCCGCAACCGCGAAACTCGGAGAAATTATTACCTCACAATAAAAGAGATGTATTGAGTTTGTGTCCTCTCTGGTCCTGGAGAAAACATGTCATTTTATAGGCTATACCAGGGGTCGGCAACCCGCGGCTCTTCCATCCATCTGATGCGGCTCTCTGTGCTTGTAAATTAATGAATGGATATTTAAATAAAATGCTTTATATTTTACTGCATTAATTTTATATCTGTAAGTCAATTCTATGTAAAGATTGTCTGCGTAAACCTGAACAGGTCCAACCCGGTCTTACTGTGAGACCGGGTTGACGGGTCACGCTTGTACGTAATCATCTGAGCTGAAGAGATTCTGGGATTCTCCTCAGACGGCTCCTGGATGTGTCGCCACATTGGAGACAGGAACAAGCGCTATTCAGCCAAAGTTTCATCATCAGGGAACATTTTCTAAGTGACAAGTCTCTCTGAGAGACCGGGTTTGGAAAACTCTCGCTTCAGTCGGAGGAATCTTCCCGCATGCGCTCTGGTTCTGCAACGCGCTCCAAGCCCCTCTCCACATCTTCTGCTTGCTGTGGACCTTATGTAGTACACGCTGACAGCGAGCTGCACTGAGCAGTGTCCAGCTCAGATGTTCAGATGGGAATCTTTTCTTGAGTGATTTAGTGTTTCAATTTTTATTATGAATTCGATTAAAAATAAAGGCGCCCGGCCCGGCCCGTGTCCGAGGTAATTACACAGTCATTGGTCCGAAGCCCGGTCCAAGGGCCTTCGGGCCGGGCCGACCCGAGGGCCTAGGGCTTCAGTGCAGGGCTCTACTTACCACCCCTCCCCTGTGGCAGGAGAGGTCCCAACAGTAGTTAGTCAGGCTCGACGCCAGGGGGCGCCGGGCCATTGTCTGTGGAGGTTTCACTTATCATCAATGTGGATGGAGCGATATGGGACATGTTGTGTTTTTCCTGTAGTTTAGAGCCAATCAGTACATCCGGTCGCAGCGTTTCCATCTTATTTGGAGGCAGATCAGCAGAGCACAGCGCAGGGTTAAAGCCCCTCCCACCTGGAAATCATCTCCAATATCTTGGATTTTTGTGACATCCTGTTGCAGATTGAAAAGCTGCATTTTTATGTTTTTCATTTTAGAAAGTTGCAGTTGAAATTCATTTCTCATCTGTAGAATGAGAGAAGTCAACTGATTAATTCACTCTGAAGCCATTCTATTGATGTACAGATCCTTTATTTTGTTATCAAATTAATGGAAGCTGAATAAGAATCCCCTGCTTACCGGTTGGATCTAAGTGAGGTTTGTTACAGGAGAAATTTTGTGTTTTGAATGACATTCAGGGCAGAACAGTTAAGTAATGACCCAGAGATGTCAATCAGCGTACCGTAGCAAGATGGCAGTCAAGGTTGCTTGGTCTTACCAGGCAAAATGGCGGCACGTGCGCATGCGCCGTGCGTCCAAGTGGCTGTTAGCACAAATAGCTAACTGAAGTCCGTTTCTCACACCGAAAGTGTTAAAAACACAGCTAAATCCACTTGAACAACGCAAATTTTATCCCTTTGTGGGTAGCGTTTTTTTAAGACACAGGAGCGCTGTGTCGATCGATTGTCAGCTGCGGGTAGCTACTCCGTTTTTGCCGAAATCGAGAGCTAAACTTTAGCAGCTAAGCGTGCTAAGCTAGCGGAGCTTGTCAGCTGAACAAGCGTTGTGTGGTCCAGTTCTGTCGTAGAACTGGCCGGCCCAAATAACCGAACCTTCGTGAGCATTCGTATTAATATTTCGGACAACTTGGCGTGTGCAATTCGTGTTGAGCGGACGCTATTCCGTTTTAAAAGCATATAGTGACTGTCGCAATCGATGCTAGCCAAGCTACGGACTGATTTACCGGTGATCAAGACGGCAGTCGAGGGAAGCGAACTTCCGGTGGAGATATTTCTTTTATCTCCGTACACAAGATTATACACAGTGTCACGAAACACTCAGAAAAGCATATATAAACATGTATTTACATTGAAGATGACAGCAGGAAAAATCCTTCAGATAACTCTGTCTATGAAATTAAAATGGCTGCGAGATGACACGTCACCTTAGATGAAGAGAGATGAATCAGCACCTCCTTGTGGGAGGTGAACAGTGTCACACCCCCTTTTGACTTAAAATGGAGATGCTGCACTCTAGTGGTGCATTACGAGATTGTCCCGTTTTCAACCAGAAACATCAGTTTTAGTGTTTAAAAATGTCTTTGAATGAGCACAAAGTGTCCAAATGTACAAATATTGGGCAATGGCTCTCCATTCTGTAATGATTTAAATTACATGTTAATTAATAAACCATAAGACGTAGGATTCCATAGGAAATATGAAATCAACCTTATGGATCTGTTGGGTTATTTTAACCAGAAGATTGGAACTTTTTATTGCAGAGATTAGATAACAGCTTCATATTCACTCAGAGACAACAGAAGAGAGAGTCAAGTTTAAAAAGTTTAAAAATTTATTGAACAGATTAAAACTAGACTAACTTAAACACTAAATGTAAGGTGTAACTAAGGTGAGTGAGACGGAGAATGGTGTGATGTGGAGTGTTGCTCAGAACCAGCAAATCTGAAGAAGTGATTAGTGCTGATGGGAATTGAAGGTGATGTTTTCGCTCTAAGCTTTGGTTAGGAGATTCATAAACACATTTGATGCCATTTGTCGGTCTACATACCCTTCGCGGAAGTCCCCGTCTAGATCAGGAGGTGTAGAGGTCCAGCTTGACCTCGTGGAGCCAAAGCCTGTAGAAGCAGCCGCGGCAACCAACCACCAGTCTTGAGATGCTCCCGGGTCACAACAGTTTTGTTGGCATCTAGTGAGACCCAAACCTGGGTTGTGAATATTCAGCTTTTATTCTGAAAGGAACCGTTGCAGCAGTTAGAACAGCAACAGATTTTATCCAGCTTGTCATTGGTTCTTTTGGCTCAAGAGGAAAGTTATGGATTGGCCACTCCGACAACTTCTCTAGAACGCTTTGAACTGCGTTAAAGATGGCGTGGGCATAGTTTTATACTTTGGATGTTTTGGTTTATGG